CACCCCCGCCCTGTGCCCCCGGCGGGGCCGGCCCTGGCACCTTTCTCCTCGGGGGACTTGGGCTCCAGCAGCAGGCGCCGCTCCTGCTCCTCGCGCCGCTTGAGCATCTCGCGCTGGAAGTGGGCGACGCTGCGCAGCAGCTCCTCGCCCTGCACCTCGGAGGGCGGCAGCACCACGCTGCAGTCCAGGAACTCGTTGATGGCGTTGAGCAGATCGTGCCGGTCGTCCGCCAGGTAGGCCGCCTCATGGAAGGGCTGCGGGCACCCACCGTGTTACGTGGGACCGGAGGGGGACCACGAACCCCCCTGGCCTGGGGCAGGAGGGAGCCCAGGGGTTGCAGGGGCCCGAAGCCGGGCTGGGGGCTCCGGCCGAGGGCAGGGGAGGCGGTACCTTGTCGGACATGAGGGTGGAGATGGAGCGGCCGATCTCGTGGTAGTCCATGTTGGCACTGCTGGGCCCCAGCAGCACGAAGAGGAAGCGCACGGGGATGGGCACCTCCAGCACCGAGTCCAGCTCCGCGGCCTCCTGCAGCCGCACGAAGGCCATGGTGGGCTGGTCCAGGAACTCCACGCAGCCTGCGCGCCGGGACGGGGGTGAGCGCCTGCCCGCGGCACTGCCCCCACTCCGCCCGGCCCCGCCGGCCCTTACCCACGAGCACCACCGTGGCCTCCGCGTTGTCCGGGATCTTCTCCAGCAGCTTCAGCTCGTGCTTGGACTTGGAGCGCGTGATGCCGGCAGGTGGCGGCGGGGTCAGGACCTCCTTCTGCGGGGAGACGGGGGGACAGGTGAGCGTGGGCTGCGATGGCGGAGGGGGCACAGGGCAGGGGTCGAGGGCGGTGGAGGAGGCAGGGCTTGGAGGGAGCGGGGTGGGAGACAGGCACAGGGGGCGGCCGGGCTCCGGCTGCCACTGACCTCACGCTCAATGTCGATTTGGACCTCGTGCTCAACGGGGACGGCGCCGATGAGGGGCTCGGTGACGGCTGGCTCGGCGCCCTCGCCCACGTGGTTGGCGCTGTGGTGGTGCCCCAGCAGGGAGCCCAGGCTGCCGGCCGAGATGTTGCGGGGGAAGGAGAAGTCCTTCTCGTCGCTCGGGTGGCTGCGGGTGCACGGGACCATCATGGACACGCGGGCCAGGCCGGCGGGCCCCCCCAAGCCCGCGGCTAGGGCAGGATCCGCCCTGTCCCCACCCTCCCACACGAAGCCTCGTCAGACCCTGTCGTGCTCGGCTTTTTGGCCCCGTGGGACAGGCGAGTGGTGCGGGGCCAGTCCCCCGGCCGGATCGGGCCCTGCACATCAGGATTGGGCCCGTGCCAACCCTGCCTGCTGGGATCTGGCCCCAGCAGGGACACGGGGCCTGGCCCCCCGGCCTGTCCCACCCGTCCGGAAATCTGGCAGCACAGGAGAGGCAGATGTTGCCCCACGGCCAAATCTCTGCAGCGGGGGCAGAGCTCTGAGCAGCGCGACACCGTGACCCCGACATCGGGGCGGGGGGCCCGCGGCTGACAAGGCCCTGCTGCTGCCGGGGGGGTCGTGGACAGGTGTCCCTGCAGGGGTGCACCCCCCTGGGAGCAAGCAGAGCAGGCCCGGCCCCCGCGGCGCCCGGCTGACCTGTGCTTGAGCAGCAGTGCCCGCAGCACGTTGGCGCGGTCCTCAGCCCGGATCTGGTCCGAGATGATCATCTGCTCGACCACCTGGTGGGCCGCGCCGGGCAGCGTCTTCTGGTCCAGGTCCAGCAGCACGGCCCCTGCA